GGAGAACCAGGTGTGTGGAGAACAGGTGTGTGGAGAACAGGTGTGTGCAGAACAGGTGTGTGGAGAACAGGTGTGTGGAGAACAGGTGTGTGGAGAACAGGTGTGTGGAGAACAGGTGTGTGGAGAACCAGGTGGGCTGAGGCTGAGTGGAGGCTGGGCCTCAGTCAAGGCAGTGGCAGGGAGTGGGCTCCTTCTGCAGGTTGAAGTAATGTTCCTGCTGATGCGCTGGAGGCAGGAGGGAGGGGCCTCGGAGGAACCAAGGATGGCTTGGGCCCTTCTGAGGGTCAGGCAGGGACAGGCGATAGGGGAGGAGAGGCCTCTCTCCTCTGTGGGCTGCTTGCGAAGCCTTCCGGGCAGACAGGGAATGGGGCCGTGGGGAGTGAGGAGATTCACAGGGTCCCTGTCTCCTCCAAGATGGCGCTCCTCATGCTCCAACCTGGCTCCCGGAGCAGCCTGGAGCCCTCAGTTACCTGTTGTTGCAAGCTCCCGTGATGAGTCTGTACTTGTTTGCCAGGCAAGAGTCGGGACATTTTGGTGGCAGCATGTGAGGCAGGCATCCGGACAGGTTTGCCACCACGCTCAGCAGGTCTTCTGGGACGGCATCTGAGAGACGAGCGGCAGACCCTGACTCTCTGCTTGTCATACCCCATCCAGCTAGCAAAGTAGGCCTGCCGAGTGTCGGTGCTGGGGCCCCGTCCTGAGCAAGCTGACCTTCTCCTGAGAGTCCCACACACCTGTTCTCCACACACCCCTGCAGCTGATGGCTCCCCCACCGGAGCTGGAATCCTTTCGGCTTCCTTATTGCTGGGAAAGTGGGGTTTTGCTTTGTGGTGTTTCAGAAAAGCAACCTGAGGGCACTGAGCTCCTGAGAGGAAGCCAGGGTCCCCTTCTCAGAGTCTACCAGGCTCATGGCACAGCTGCAGGGCTAAGCCATCACACCAGCACAGGAGCTGCTCCCAAAGTGGCTGGGTCTGCCGAGGACTGAGCAGGGAGCACTCATCCCCATGAAGCCCGCCGTGGTCATGTGGACAGAGTCCCCGTCCATCCATAAAGCCCTCTGTTTTCCTTTCTACTGGCTCTTGGTTCCCTGCTTGTGAATCCCTCTAGACTGGGTCCCAGAAAGCAGTCTGCTTTATTTTATTTTTTTCCCCAATTCTGTCACTATTTATGTTATTTAACAAATCAAAGGGCTACTTGCTGTCCATTAGTAGAAGCGGCCATCAGCTACCTCTTCAAGATGGTTCATGTCATGAAGACAATGCCATAAAACTGTTTGATCAAGCACCAGTGACATTGAGATATTTACTGGAAAAAACAGGGAGCAAGGCATTTCCTCTCCAAGAGAGAAGGAGCAGCCTCAAGGAGAATGGCCACCAGCACTCTCCGTGGGGACGGTGAAGCCTCACCCTTGCTTCGGCTTGTAAGTGATGGGCATGTCTTTTACTTTAGAGCACAGCAGTGCCCTTACCGTGAGCTGTGTGGGCACAGCCATGTTAACAGCAGAGGGTGAGACAGCCTGGACGGAGTGCACACACCATGCGGCCATGGCTTGGCCTGAAGGGCCTGGCAGGGTCTCCCTGGACCCTCAACTCCTCTTGCCTTCTAAATGCTCCAGCTGGCTGTACCAATGGTGCAATACTCTAAAACTTCCTGTGGAGTGCAGTTCTTGAATGACCTGGACCAAACCCCACGGCCCACTTCCTGAGCGCCTGCTTCCTGCCTGGGCAGTGGGCCTGGGGGTGCCACCCTGTGAGCCAGAAGACCCACGTCTCCGACACCAGAATATGGCATTTTCATGTCATGCCTATTGCCACCCTGACTGATTCATGATAGGACAGGGGACCAACATCCTTAGAAACACTTTTAACCACATGGTTCCCAAAACAAAGCCATTTTGAATGAATTTTTGGTTGCAATAAAATCAAGAGTGTTAACTGTTAAGTTCGGGACCTGAGAATTCTAGCTCATCTGTCCACTGAGTTCATGGCCTTCTAAAGGCTGGGTGAACAGCACTAGATGACCTATGACAGCAATCAGGGAGCTCCGAGGCCAGGCACCTCATGCCTGCCCTGAAAATCCCTGCTCAGAGTTTAAAGGACCCTGGTGTCCCGGTTCCTGCCGCAGGGCCAGGACACTGGTGCTTCCCCATCTTCTCAGCAGTTTCAGTACTTGTGCCCACAAACTTGTTCCCCTGCAGCCTCTGCCTGAGAAGCCAGCCCTGGGCCTCCTCCAGGAGAGGCGCTCTCTGCCTAAGCTCTGGAAGCCTCCGGAGCTGAGTGCCTGGCCCCGCTGCTGCCCGAGCTGTTGTGCCCTCTGAGGGAATCGGGCTCACTAAGCCCATGAGCACCCAAACACCACAGGTGGGGGAGCTGTTGAGAAGTCCCGGCTTCTGCACACCACCACAAGGGTGTTTGGCTGGTCCTCCAGCCTGGATGTGGGAAACAGAAACAGCATTTCCTAGACTACTACCGAAAATAAGAGACGGACCTTTTAGGCATCCTAGGGAGGTGTTGCTTGGCCTTGTGAGACCCTGCTTCTCTTAGCTAAGAAACACCCTACATAAGCGACCCCCAGTGAAGCCCAGGCGCCTCCCAGGAGGGCCCGTGGGGCCTGAGGCGCTTACCCATGGGATGCTGTGACTGCTCCAGCCTCAAGGCTTGCAGGGAAGTCTCCATTATCTCTGCTGCTCGTGAAATAGCTCTGCTGCTTGGCTCAGTGAGCTTAGAAAAAGACAGAAGCTCAGCTGGGGTGGCAACTTCTCTCTTGTTGAGGTTCCTATGGCACAAGAAGGAGATAAAAACAAAGTATGTGTTTTATGGTTGCTTTGATACTTAATTACCGACAAATGAAGCATCTATTGAGCAACTGCACGTACCAGACAAAACTCTGGGCACAGTGCAGGGTACAAAAATGGAGCTGATACTATAAAAAAAATTAGCAGGATATAAAGATGACTAGTACATCAGTATTGAATGGTGACAGAAATGACCAAGATTTGCTTTTTATAAAACTTTCATATCAATTGTTTGATTCTCATTCCAATTATTTGGTTCTTATCAAAACTCAACTCATTTATTCACACCTACCCAATGAAAGGGGAAATGGGCATGTGCATTTTTGTCCAGGCCTTGGGGCCACAGGTGTCTTAGCTGCAAGTGTCTGGGGCGAGATGCAGGGGCCCGGCTCACCACAGCATCACCCACCCTGACAGAAAGCAAGACCCACGAGGCCAGGTCCACCTCCCCAGAGGCCAGCCCTGTCCTCCTGTGCTGTGCTATAGCTACAGTATTGTATTTTACACTGAAAACTTGCTAAGGGAGACCAAGTGCTCTCATCAAAAAAATAAATAAACTAAAAATGATATAATGTGGATGGGAGTGAAAGTATTAACTTGACTGTTAGATGAGTTCCCTTTGCACGTCCATATCAAAGCATCACATTGCACATCTGAAAATCTAGGATACAAATACTATTTAAAAACCTTATAAATACTATGATTGTGCTCACTTTACAGATGATGAAATCAGCCCCGTGGAAGTTAAGTGGCTTGTGGCAGCTGGACTGCAGTGAGTGATGGCACAGTATACAGACCCAGAAATCACACACAAGATACACTAGAAATGAGCCAGCACAGCAGGTGTAAGTGCCATGCGTCTTAAAGTATGAAACACTTGTTTTTAGATCTGCCAACACATTTGTAAAAGCTACTGGTGGCAATGAGCTCTGGGGAGACAGATTCCCTGACTTGTGAGCTGAACAACCTGAAAGTGTCAGGCCTGCTGGCCAAAGAGGAGATCTGGGTCAGGGACCAGGCGCGCCGTCCCTCTCTGCAACGGCAGAGCTGCTGCCTCTTGGAGTCACGCTGTGGTCCCCAGGCCCACTTCTTTCCTGGGGATGGCTGTGGGAGATTCTGAGCAGGGAATTCGCTAACTAGAGAGACACTTGGGCATAAAAACCAGCCTGAGAATCCTGAGAAGGCCCCTGGACACTGCTCTTGTTCCAGCTGACCCAGTGGACCTGAGTCCCAGGATCTGCCCCTGGCCTGCCTATCGGCCAACCCTGTGAAGAGTCATGAAGCCTGTGCCCGCTGGGGATTTCACCTCTCCCCAGTGTCGTGCAGCCATGCCCAGGGCCTGACCTGCAGACCCACACTCTTGGCTCCAGTCCTGCGAAACTTGGGGAGCTGCTGCTTCAGCACTGCCAGGGAAGGACAGGCACTGGTCCCTCCGAGGCACCACAGGGCCCCATCCCTCTGAGCCCATGGTAGGACCAAGGGCCAAGTCACACGACCTCGTGAGGTTGGCTATTTGCTTCAGAAACATTGGAACCATGACCTCTGGCCACAGAGCCCACTTGCTCCTGGAGCTCACACCCACACCCACACAAGCACACTCCTACTCCACACGCACGTTACATACACCACACCATCCAGGCCCAACATGCACACAGCACACACACACGCAGCATCCCCCACTATGCTCACACTGACATGTGAGAAACACAATCACATTCATGACACACACAGTACACACACACCACGTGCATGTACATGCACACAGAACACACACACAAAAACCCTTGCATACATGCACATGTGTGCACACACAACCCCGTCCTCTATCATCTCTTCCCAGAATATTTGTAACTACAGTTGAATCACGGTGCTTTTGCTCTTGCTTTGCCAGGAAGGGGCTTGAGATGCAATACAGACGGCTAGTGCTCTCAGGGACACTGGGAAACTGACCAGGCTTACAGGAGCTCCAAGTCCTGATCTTAAAATGGGCTGCAGCTGGTCTTGGAAGTGAATGTGAACTGGTGAAGAAGTGGCAGGGGACCTGCCCCCGAGACAGCCAATGCCCCAACTTACCTCTTCCTGGTGTCGTAGACAGCATCGTCCACCAAGCGCTGGCTGGCCTCCAATACAGGGAGAATGAGGGACATCCCAGTCTTCCCTAGGGAATAAATGGCTACATTCAAAACCCAGCCATAGGCCTTGCTGTCGGTTCAGATCTGGTGCCCAGTCCGGCTGCTGTGGAGATAGCCAGGCATCTCAGATGCCAGTGGGTTACTGACCCTGCATGGGCCAGCATCCACCAGGATGGGAGCTAGCTCCCCCACATAGCCATCAGGCAGGGTGGACTCGGCTGAACCCCTTTCCCGGGTGCTGGAACACCCTATGGCTCGGAGTAGCTTTCTTTCTGAATATTTTAGTTCATGATAGTTTCCTGTTAATTTGTGCATTTAACAAAAGATAAGTTATTTAAATATTCCAGTTTCCTGTGAAATCCCTCTCTTGTGTTTTTCTCCCTTTCCTGCTGGGAACGTTGGGTAGGTCAGTGTTCCTTCTCTGGTAGAAGTATGAGGTCCCTGTGTTGTGGATGATGGTGGCACAGCCACTCCTGCCACCAGGAGAGCTTTTCCATAACCAGCACCTCGTAGAGGAAATTCACTTATTCCTAGAAGTAAGTGGAATATCAGAATGCTTTTGAGCATGACACGGTTATATGGAAATAAAACTACATTTGAAAAGGTAAATTTCAATGGTTTGGGACCAAAGCAGCACAGCATACTCCAGAAAAGTGAACTGAGTGGGCCTAGCAGGATTATCACCTGATTGCCTCTGTCCTGGTATTTATCTAATAGCTTCAACGCCAGAAGAAACACCGGGACTGAGGAAGCTGCTGGAGTCTGGGATTCCTCCCACCCAGCCCCACAATTCCGGGGGGCTGGACGTGGACACATCCAGAGGCAGGTTGGGTGTCCAGGCCTGGCTGGCCAGCCCCTGGTCTCTGACATCCGCCTCTATCCTCAGTCAGGAGGGGAGAGGGCACCTGTGCAAATCTGTGTCCTCCTTTCAGGCAAGGCAGCAGCAGAGAGCGTTTCCGGAACATGCTTCTTCTGAGCACCTCAGCTCAAGGTCATTCCTGTCAGTGCCTCAGCTCAAGGTCATCCCTGTGCCTGCTGGGTGAGCTGGGCCTCCATCTGACCCTGCCATGCCCTTCACAGTTGCACATCGCTCTCCATTCAGTGTTTTCTTTGCAGAGGTATGGAACCCGAAGACCGTCGACAGAGGAGTGTGCTTCTCAGAACTGATTATGAAATTCCTCTGAGTTTCCCAACTCAGTTCCTTGATCAGGAAACTCTGTCCCATCTCGGGCTGTCAGTGTGAGCACCAGCTGAAGGTCACCTCTGCTCCAGTCACTGTGCAAGTGACCCCCAAGTTCCCCTGTGCATGTTCCCCTCACATGGGAGTATTGGAATTCAGGAAGCCGCTGCACTAGAAAGTATTGTATTTCAGGACAAAAAGAAGTTGCTAGCTCCACAAGTGTTCACTAAAACCAAGCAAAAAAAGACAAAGAAGAGCCCAAATCTTCCTTCTCCCAGACTCTAACCGTCACAGCCCCTGAGGTTCACCCTTCACTAACTCTGTTTGGTCCTGATTTTAATGACCTCTGTTTGCTGAAATCCTGGGAGCTGGAGTGGAGTTTGCCAACTCTCCTCTTTCAGCAATCCCCCTGCAGACTTCCCAGGCTTCCCATCTTCAGCCATGTCTCTGCACTCAGGCTCACTTGCCACTTACGTCTTTCAACCTCTGTGAGATGCTGGGACACTGATGTAAAGACAAGGCCCTGTGCATCTGGATCTTGCACAAATATCAGAAACTATCCATCCAGGAACACAGGACCTCTGTGATGCACATTCCTTCAAGTTTTCGAGAAGGGACCAGGTCGACTTAGATTTCTCAGATCTGCAGTGGTCATGTATGCATTTCTTGGGAAAGTAGAACATTTTTCAAATATTTTTACTTCAGAATTTTCAGGAGTTTAGGGCTTTTCCCCTTTGTTCTTTCACCTTCTGGGAGGGTCTTCCCCACCAGGTTCTGCACAACAGAGGGCGAGTGCAGTGGGTTTGCTTCCCAAGCTGTGAGCAGAAGCACTGTGCACCCAGCCCACAGAGTCACGCAGCGTCATCTCTTCCAAATGGGACTGAAGTAGCTGTGGTGAGATGCAGCTGATGAGAGGATGCTTCAAAGGAAGCTTACCAGTGAATATATAGTCCTGAAGCTACTGTCTTGCATGTCACCTGGTAAAATCAAGTATCTTATACTAAAGGATGTAAAACTGAGACACCAAGAGACAAGTCATATGTTCTAAGTAAGCAGTTCACAGAGTAGAGGCATCAAAGCCAGCTTCAAAATACCCTACTGAGCAGTCAGTCTTATTCCAGAGCACCCGCTGCCGTGAACGCTGGAGTGAGCCTTGTCTACACATTGACTGGAAATAATCAAATCTAGAGATGGAGAAATGATAAAGTGTGCATCAAAGCTATAGACACCCTATTTCCTGATTTTAAAAAATGATTCTAAAACCTGAAAACATTGCGCACAGAAAATCTTTATGTTGTGCTGATCAGTTTGCAGGTTCAGCGACTTGCTGGAAACTAGCTACTGGACCCGTGACTTTTGTTACTGTGGTTTGCAGAGCTGGGTGTGGTTTGCAGAGCTGAGCCCTTGATAAACTTGAAAGGAAGAAGCAGCTCACAGCCATCCCCATGCCCAGTGCCCACTGTCCCCACCCTGAATGTCCACTCTGTTAAAAGCACACTGTTTCACTTTGGGCCATGAGGCACAGAGTCACTGTTAACTTCTGCTAGTACTGGCCAGGGTAATGCTCACCAGGGATGACCATGATGGGCAGCTCTCCTGTCCTCTCCAGTGGCAGGTGAGGACCTGGAGTTAGTAGCAGGAACAGTCCACTGGTCCCTGGCCAGGATGCTGCAGGAAGAGGCTGGGGGAAGCAGTGACCCTATCCTTAATGCCCAGACAGCCTACACCACATTGTGTCCATAAGGAGTCTGAGAGTCTCGATGGACGGCAGAGGAGCATCAGTGTGGTCATAAGGTCCTGGTCATCAGAAAGGCTGGACAGAATGTGGCTTCCAGCGGGAGGCAGAGCTGGGCATGCACCAGGCTGGCAAGGGCTCAAGGGCTGGATGTCCCTTTCAGGACCAGGAGTCTTAGGGTCTGACAGGCTGCACATGGGCCAGTGATGTCCAGGGGCCCAAGCCTGGGGGGGCCAGGGTGTGTCCATGCAGCTGAGGGTCTGACCAGCCCTCCAGCATGTATTTTTTTTTTAACTGAAGAGTGACTGTTTTAAGCTCTGCATCTCCTTAGCTTTCTTACCCTAATTCTGTATTGTAGCACACTGATTCCAGAACCTACACCACAGAATCTATTTCATGAAAATTTTGTTCATGAATAGGTGTGTGAACTGTGAAAAATGGAAAATTCTAAATTCTGTAATCTTAGGAAAATTAGTTTTTCATAAAAATTGTTTTAATCCATTTGAGCCCAGGAACTGCATTTTTGTTTTGAAAAGCCTCACACAGGTACACTAAAGTGGGGTCAGGGATGCTCAGGAGCTACATTAGGCTCTGGGTGCTAGGTGAGAATAACCATCCTGAGGGTACTCACCCCACAGGAGTCCTCTGCCTCCCAGGATATAAAGGAAGAACACTCCGGCACAGGCTGCAGTCAGCGTGAGGGTCAGGGCTGTCAACACCCTCATCCTGGGGCTGGAACGGACAGGCGGAGCACAGGGCACTCAACATGAGTGTGGGTCCTGGAATCTGCCTCCTGCTCCCACCCTGCAGTAGTGTCCGACCGGAGCCTGAGGCTGGCCCTGCATGATTCTGAGTGGCCCCCAGGGCGGGAAGACCCCCAGTCAGAACAAGGCGCTGAGTGTCCCACGTGCCCTGGCTGGCAGACGAAGCTTTCAGGTCTGACAGCTCCAGCCACCGCATTTCCCAGTAACGACTGGTTTTAGGAGCTGGCCTTGGGAAATCACTTGGAACACTGCTGGGAATAAAGGAATCTATTTCCCCTAGAATCTTTGTGGAACAAGTAACTGATATCAGGAATCCAGCATCTTAAGGAAAGGTAACTAAAAGCCGTGTGTCTGGGTGGAGTTGACAGCACTCACACTTGCCCAGGGTCCCAGGACTAGGGCTCTTTAGACCAGGCACAGCAGCTGGTACCGCCTTTACCTTGTTTCTAGCAGCAGGCTCTCTGTATCTGCGCCTGGCAGGGTGCTAAGGAGGACACTGCCAGCCCTCTGCAGCTGCAGTCACAGAGGGAACAGCTTCGCCAGCCACGCTTTGCTAGGAGAAGCTGCCCATGCCTGCCTCGGCCAGTAACAGCTCACACAGGCCACTCTTCAAGGGCCACTGAAGATTTCTCTTAAGGGAAAGTCTTGAGGCTGGGGCTGGGGCTCAGTGGTAGAGTGCTCACTTAGCACATGTGAGGCCCTGGGTTCCATCCGCAGCACCACATAAAAATAAACAAATAAAATAAAGGTATTATGTCAGACTACAACAAAAAATAAATATTTAAAAAAAATGGGAAAGTCAAAGTTTCACAACCGACCTTCCTGGCTCTGCTCGGGAAGGCGACAAGCGTGTGTGGTTGGGTACTTACCAGTCGCGAAGCTCTCCTGGAGTGTGGACCTTGACTGCCCCAGGCCTAGTTCCCACCATATAAACCCACTCTGCTCTGCTGCCCTCTCAAGTGGCCGGAGGTGGAGCAACTCCAGCTTCCTGGCCCCAGAACCCTTGTTGGTGCCATTGTCCCTGGGCTGGGCCCTCCTACACCCTGGCTGGCCAGACTCAGGTGCAGCATCATGCTGCACATGCAGTCCAGCCCCTGCCCATGAGTCAGAAGGCCTGGGAGTTGAGGAGGGGAGTCTCTGTAGCTGTGAGTGTGGTGAACAACCACAGCTGATCCATCCCCACTTGTTCTCGTTTCTGTGATGAGAATGTTTGTGGTCTCAGGAAACTCCACGTGAACAGGGCGTGTAGCGGCAGTCTCTGCACTGTGCCTGCATCCCCAGGACTTACTGGTCTTAAACCCAAAGGTGTGCCTTTGATTGGCACCTCCATGGTGCCCCTCCAGCCCT